TCTTTTTTTTTTTTAAAGGATATGCTATTTCTAACTAAAATTCATTGAAATCTTATAATTTTTCGTAAAAATTTGGTTTTTGTTTTTCTTTTGTCTTTTTTTCTCTCAACTTAATAGTCAAATCCATAAATTGTAAAACAGTTCCTTTTTGCTAATATAATAATTAATAAGTTATTATTTCCTCCTTTTTCTAATTACCAATCATTAAAATAATATTTCGTTGATTTTAGCATTTGTAATTACTCAATGAATTAATTATAGTAAATATTCCTTAACTTTTTATTTTGCTATTGCTTCCAAAACATTCATATAAATTAGGTTGAGAGCAATATTTAAAATCTTCTTATGATTTAGGAAAAGTAAATTTCAAAGACTTTAGCTGTATTTTTCGGCAGTTTTTCCAAATTTTAGCAGTGGGAAGTTCCGAAAATTTAAAATAATTTAGCATAAATTTAATTTCATATATGGAAAGTGAAGGATAAATTGTGGAACTTCGATATAATTCAAAGATAATACTTAAAGAATGTTAATTTGCCTATTGGGTGTTATATTAAATTTAAGAGCTTAAGATTGTCCTTTTCGAATTCAAACTTCAATATTTCCTACCGAATTAAATTCCTTTATTGTTTTTAAATTGACTTGTTTTAAATTGCAAATCTTTCGTGTATTAACTTATAATAAAATATATTCAAAATATGTGAATTTTTATCCATTATTATCCTTTTTTTTCAAAGGAAATAGAAAGATGCGACTACGTTTGAAATTCGTATAACTTGTGCTATCTAAAAAAATTTGTTTAAATTAAGTCCGATCGAATTTCATTATTACTTTGCAGTGATTTCACCGATCGAATGATAGTTGCACGACGGATAAAAGCATATTGCAAATAGAAGAATGCATCTGAAAGTATAATATTTATCTGTTTATAATTATTTGTACAATAATGGATGCATTAATATTGAATGCTGGACATTCGCAACTGGAAGAACAACTAAAAATCGCAGCAGCTTGCGGTGTCGCAGAACGACAGCATAGATCCAAATCCAACGATATTACCGCGGTGATTGCAACGGAAGATAGCGATGCGATGACAGCAATGGAAGACAACAGTGAAGGTTTGTGATTAATTTCGACCAATAAAATAATTACAGCCATTTATTTATTTATTTATCTTTCTTTTTTTTTCCTAAAAGACGAAGAAAAGTCGTAAGAGCTTGCAATATTGTGGATTAATCAATAACTTGCGGTATTGTAGATTAATTAATAACTTGTCATATTGCAGTTTAATAAAGTGGATATTGCTATGATAGTTTATATTGATAACCAATAGAGAAGCTTTCCTATCATTTGAAATGAAATTTTTAAATTTTCATCAAAATTTATTCAAATTACTTGCAATCACTATAATATCATCAATTTTGTATTTTCTTACAGCCTTTTCTCTATTTAATTAATATATTATTTGATTTTCTCAGAATGCATTTACTTCTTCAACCATAATAGCCCAAACTTTTTGAAATTGTTAGAAATTGCATAAATTTTAATTCCTTATCATGAAGTAACATTAATCTTTTCATATGTTATAAATTGAGAAACCGCACATTTCAAACAAAAAAATATTTGATCATTGACCGTAAAGTATGTTGAATTTCATAAAATTGAAGTCCTAGGAAGTCTAATCTTTTTTACAATCCGGTTTGCTTTTGTTTTGAAAACTTCAACCATAGGCTTTTATTAAATTTAAAATAAAACTTGACCTTTTCCAACTTATTTCTCATATGTTTTGTAAATCAATGCAAAATTCTGTAAAATTCTACAACTACTTTCTTCCAGAAAAATTTCCATGAAATTTTGAAACTATGTTTTATTCTTTTTTCTCTTCATAATACTTTTTATTTTAAATTATCGATGGTATTTTTATCCAAAGAGAAATAAAAATTCAACATTTTATGCAAATTTAATAAAATTTCAAGTTGAATAAATGTGGTTTCTCGGAAGTTATTAATTTTTTTTTGGAATGCAAATTCACTTTTACTTTTTTTTTAACATTAATTTTTGCATTACTTCTTAAATTTTTTATTTTGTATTTTTTGAACGTTTTGGAATTCCTGTTTTGCACTGACAATAATTTCATTCTTATTGTTTGTTTTTTTTCCATTTTTAAAACTTTTTTGTGTTGTTTCATTTTTCAAAACTTTGTATTTATTATTTACGATGAAATTGCCAGAAAGTTTCTTATTGCCAAAAAATCTAATTACCAAAAAGTTTCTTTTTTTCTTATTAATTCTTCGCTCTGATTAATTTTAACTAAACAAGTCAAGTTAGTTATTTAGTTATGCTTCAATTGGCATAGTTTTTTTTTTCTTTTGTCACATGAATAGGATCGAATTTATTTGCATAAACTAAAAAAGAAGGGAGGTAATTGATAATGCGTAATGCACTTTGTTGGCAAAAGTAAAGTCTATTTTATTTTTTAATGAAAATTAAATTACAAATACTTAATATATTAAATTTTTAGCAGAAGATGTTTGTATGAGAGAGAGAGAGAGAGAGAGAGAAGGGGAGTGAAATTTCTCATCCATTCTACTCATTCATTGTATATTTTTTCTCCATTCAGCTATTCTAATTAGTAATAATATCCCAAATAATTCCCGGGAGGCTGACATCTTTAATGATGCTACGAATCAAGTAAAAAAAAAATAGAAGCAATTCAAACAGTAAGGGGAAATAAAAAAATTGGGAGAAGGAAGTTTTCTTTTTTTCTTAATTTTTTTTCGGTCATATGACCTAGTGACCCGTATGTGCTACTACTGCTTCTACTCTTGCTACTACTATTACTACGATAATATACACATATGTGTGTGTGTGTATGTATGTATGTGTGTGTCTGTGTGTGCATGCATGTATGTGTGTGTGTGTGTATGTGTATGCGTGTAATTGCTGGTGGAACAGGACTTTCATGTAATTCAAATTTTGATCCAATTATTCCGATTCCTTACTTCAAATTTTCATTTTTCATCTTTTGCAATAACCATCAGTTTTTGTATCGTCTCAAACATTCAGTAATATTTTATGGAAAGAAAACTGATGTAATCAGAAATAAATGAAATTGAATGTAATGAGAGAATCATTTTTCGTTGAAATATTGGGAAGGAAAAAAGCAGCACGTTCGTCATTCTTCACTTTTTGTTTCCCAATTTGGAAATAAGTAAAATTTACTGGAACATTGAAAGCGTAGATGAAAAAGCTAAAGTTCTCTGAATTGTCAGATTTCGAAGTAATCAGAAGCGGAAAAGAGGAGAGAAAAACGAGAGGGAGGATTAGAGAAAGAGAAAGAGGAGCGAGAAAGATTTAAATTGGAATGGAAATAAATGTAAGTTACGAGGAAAAATTATTCCGGAAAAATAATTTGAAAAAACAATGCTTATATTAAACGCTCTCCTCATTACTTAAAAGAACAGTTCTTGAAAAACTGAAAGGCAAAAAAGCTGCCTTTCTATCTTTGTCGTTCCTTAAACAGTTTAGCGTCTGAATTAGCTTAATTTTAACAATACTCCTTCAAGCGTTACTTTTGTCACTATGATATGGTTTGTTATTAGTTTCACCACTATGAGCTGGTTTGTGATTACTTTTACAACTATGAGTGGTTAGTCGTTAGTTCCATGATGTAGTTTACCATTAGTTTACGACTATGATATGGTTTATGATTCGTTTTATCACTATAATATGACTATCGTTAATTTTGTCACCATGATACGTCGTGATTTCGTCAATGTGATATAGTTTGTTCATTCAGTCCATTTATCCAGTTGAACTAACAGTGATAGTTAAAAAACCATGTCTTGCTTGTACCTGTCTGTTGGTGATTATTAGCTCGAAAAAAGGCAGGTCATAACTGGCTTCCAAAACTTACAATTGATATTTTACTCTATGCAAAAAGTTCAACTACACTTCTCTAGCATTTCGCATTTTGCGCCTGATCAAAAATGTTTTACCATCGAATTATTATCTTCATCCAGAATAGCGGGTAAAAGTTAGGTTGAAAGAGTACAAAGGATAGTGGGATAGACGGATGGGCAGAAAAGTATTCGGATATAAACCGGTTTAAAATACGCTTTTGCAACTGTAATTGTTCACATAGAATTTGTACATCCCTATGGTATATTTTGTATATATCGAACAGAAATAGAACCAAATAACATCGAAAGGAGAGGGATATTATCAGGTGGGTTAGGGGAGGAGGCGAGAAAAGATAATCATAACAATTTGTTGAAATAAAACCATCTTTTGTTTTATCCTCTTCCTTTCAGAGCCTTCTTTTCTTCTCTTTCTCTCTCTCTCCTCCTCTTCCTCTACCCCTCCTTCTCCCTTTTGTTGAATCCATTCTGGATAGTATTATCATTGAAGTTTATCATTAAAAACGTGCGAATTAGGCACATATAAATATAATTCTATTCATAATTACGTATATGTATGCGGAAAAAAAATTCCGGAAATGGAAGATTATAGACAAATGATGATTAGATGATTACCCTTCCGGTATTATAATGACATTAGGCTGACATAAAATGATATGATAGGCTTCTCTTCCGTTGTTATAATTGGCTTATTTGTTTACCTTATTTAGCCCTAGCATACCGCGTAAATATTTTCGATAAGGAATTGGTGAGCCGTTTCTATTTGCGCTTCACACTGTTTGATAATGTACAATGATTTTGATAATGTACAATGATGATTTTATACGTCGTTTTTTTTTATACGTCGCAAAAATATTTGAAATGCTTAATTTTGATTGTAATTAAAAGGTAGATTTAAATATTGAAAAGTTTATTGTTCATTACGGAATAATGCTATATGTTAATATTATCTTTTAATAGCTACCATACAGATTTCCTTGCAAGTATTATGTTTTGCAAATCATTTCAAGTCTTGAATAATTCATGATGGAATATGAAATTGTAGGTGTTGTGGAAAATTCGATGACATCTTCATCATCCGATCACGATAGTTCAGCAAGTTTACCGTCACCTCCAAAGCAAGCATTAATGGATGACGATTTTGTTAAAACTCTTGAGCAACTTTCGAAACAAGTACATTTAATTTTTAAGCTATCGTGAGGCTCATTATCAATTTCAAAAGCTCTCAAACTACGGATTTTTTCCCGTTTATTTAAGGGACTTTTATGCTTTTACTTTAATTATTTATTGCCTTATAATTTAGGCTTCGCATTAATTACCTAACTTGTTATTAGTTGTTGAAGATAAATAACATAAATAATGAAGGGAAAAGATGGAAAATGATTCTTCCTCCTAAAGCAAAGTAATAACTTTAGCATAGAATTGATGAATCATTTGATTTTATTCTAAGTGGGATAAATTTCTTCGTCTAGTACTTCTTAATTGTCCGTAAAATCTTTTTAAATTCAATGATAAATTGTTAAGTGTAATCATTTTCTCTCTAATGTATTATTTTAAAACTTTTATATCTTCCTAAAACATCTAAAATATCCCTATATCAAAAATTTTCAAATTTATGTCACAGTAGCAAGGATGTGAATATGACATGTGTAATGCCCTAATTGCATTGCAGAAAGTAGCCAATTAAAGTAATGGGGAAGCAAAAAATTTTCATCTTGGTGAATTTAAATGTAGTAATTATAATCCTTGATTTTACACTTTTTTTCATCTGTAAGCCTATTTAATTTTCAGCAAAATTCACGAGTATTAAGCAATGCAGAACAAGGTATTACTCCTCAACATGGTAATTTCAGGACTGTACTGAAAAGACCTGATTTAAAAGGTGCTTATCTTTGTTTCATGTTCTGATTTACAAACTTTGAAATAATTAAACTATGCAAAGAAAGGAATGAATTAGTTATAAAATGAAAAGGACGCTTTTATAATGATTTATTTACCCGTACTTGCAGATGTTTTATGTTCTTACAGATCTTTATGTTCTCAGTGATATTTATTTAAAGAGCTTGCAATAGAGTTAATATAGAAAAACAGGTCCAAAGCATTTGTTTTACTGAACATTATTATGGATAAAGTGCATTCCAAGTATATATTATTGTCATGGATGAAATTCATTGCAGTTATATATTAATTGTCTTCTTAGATAGATTAAGCACAGTAAGCTGATTTAATTTTACAGGAACTTTCCGGTGTTCGATATGCCAAAAAATTTTTTGTCATTCATCGTCACTAAGTCGTCATCGAATGCAAGCACATTTCAAAAGTTACACATGTACGTTATGCAGGAAGGAAATTACAAGTTTGTGTTTTTTTACTTAAAAGAAAGATTCGCAAAACTTTTTATTACTGTTAAACAATTTAATTGCACGAATGAAAATCGAACAAAAAGGGAATGCGAAGGCTTCTAAATCTAAATAAATCCTATTCTTAAACTTCATTGATTTATTATAGTAATTTCTTTTTTCTGTTTTTCTACTTAAAGTAATATCTTGCTTTTGTAGTATTGGTAATAATAAAGTTTGATAAGTACTGTCTTCTTTTTCTGAATAATCCAGTTTATTCTATACCAACTAGAGCAGTTCTTTATAATATTTTACAAATTTAAATATTATTTTAACCACTACCACTTCAAGTTAACTTAATATTATTTTAACCACTACCACTTCAAGTTAACTTAATATTATTTTAACCACTACCACTTCAAGTTAACTTAAGGCATCTGAAACATTTTGGCCTTCGAATTTCTGCCATAAAAAGAATGATTCCAATAGCTGTAGTAACAATTATTATTATTGTGTTCATCGTCATAGTTGCAATAGTGAATGAATTTTTATTCGTTCCTTTCAATAAAACTACATTAGTAAGAGTTACATTAATTATTTTAGATGCAACAATTGTTATATTAGTGATACGAAAATATCATAGGGATTGATACTGTTAACACTAATAATGAGAATGATAGTTATAACAGTAATAGTAATTTATTGGAGTAGCAGCAGAATTATTGTTAATTTTAGTAACACACAATCTATTCCAAATATTTATTTTAATTACCAAAAGAGATATTTTAGTATATTTCTATTTTTCATAGTGCTTTCGAAGATTGCAAATGGGAACAAGAGCTGAATGAGCGAATTATAGAAAATCCTCTCAAGAATGGAATCTTTTGCATTCATCCAGAAAGATCGTGGAAAGGATGGAGTATTTTAGGGGGTTATTTTGTGCATGTGTGTATGTGTTATTGGTTTGACCCAGTTGACAACTAATCAAGTAGTAACCAACCGGTGCATAATAACCAACATTGTCTGCACCGTTTCTTTTTAAACTATTTAAGTTAAGTGGATTGATAATTAATTGTGGGGAAAAGAAACTGTTTTATCTAAACCGATTCGCTATTATCGAAATATCACGAAGACAAATTTTGAATAATAAACTTTTCCGACCAAAATAACAAAAATATGAATGGAAAATTTATTAAAATTACTGAAATTGCAAATGTAAGCACAATTATAGTCATTCAGCTAATGAAAGCGAATTAATTGTTTGTAAATTTATCAAATTAACAGTTTAAAAAATAAGAAAAAAATTCATTCGAAAAAATAAATTCGTTTTTTTTTTATCGAAGTGTTTGTATTCATGGGAAAGGGTTACAGAAAAAAGGACTTCATTTCTTGTTGGAGCTGAATTGCAATCATTTTTTTGGAGGTTTTCGGAAATGACGAAACACTTGTATATCTAATAAGGAATCAAAATATATCTTCATAAGAACTGTTTAATTATTATTTTAATAAATAAAAGGAATATATCAAGCGACTAATTCTAGATTGGATTACTCCTAGACTCTTATATGTTAGGCATTTATAAATGATTCATTTCGATGAAATTAGATTTTCATTTCTCGTGTATAAGCTTAAAATAAAAGATTCTATGATTCATTTAACTGACTATTTCCCCAAAAAAAACCATAATTCTTTATCTTTAAATCTGTTTAAAAAAAAAAAATTAGTGGTTTATTGTTTAACATCAGCAGTACATGAGACGAATAAACTTTCGATGTTAAATAAGTCTTATTCAGATACCTTCTTTCTTATCCTATATGAAGGTGTATTGCTATCATTTTCACTATTACAGAAAGTATTTTCATTGTGATGTCATCCTCTCTTATACCACCAGTGATTATTCGTAATCATTCATCAGTTTTCCTTGATATCCAATTAATAGTAATAACATCCGATTGTAGTAGTGTACCATCATCGTCTGCTTATTTCGTGATACTGAAAAAATTTCCCACCAGTATATGAAATTCACCGTATTGGACCAATATTTCTATACAAAAGAAAATTATGTCTTATTGGACGGCATAAAATTGCTATCACTTATATGTTAAATTAAAATTTTGCTTAATGAGTAATTTTTTTTACCGCAAAATCTTTGGACATTAACTTGATTCTATTTTGTTATATTTCTGATCCATTTAATTTTTAAAATAAATTCAGAATTCATCAATAAAAAAGACAGATCCCTCCAAAAGGAGTATCTTTTCGTTGCTTTCATCATTCCGTTGGTTTAAAATGGTACAAAATATCTTCATAACAGTTAAAATGTTATCTCTTAATTGTATTCAAGTGAAATAACGACGAAACTTTTTCTGTTTATTTTGATTCTATTGATTAGGTCAATTGTCAATTACCGTAGCATTCTAATGCCATCAACTGCCTGTCAGTGCTTTGCGAAGAAGAAATAGTGAATGGAAGAAAATGAAAGTGAAACATAACTGACCACTGCGGAACAAACGTAGTAAATTAAAATTTCGAAAAAATTGAATTAACGTTTAACAACAAAAAAAGCAAGAGTGCAATTGTCTTAATTAGGTTTTGTTCTGAATTTACAAATCAATTTTACTATCTATATTTATCCTATCCTATTTGAATTCTGTCCTATCCCTTTTCTAGTTTCTGATTTGTTTTTCTTTTTTCCCGTCCTATTTTACTTTTGTTTTTGTTTCTCCTCTTCTTTCCATATATAATTCTTTTATTTCCTTGGAAATATTCCTTTTCTCTCCTATGCATCAAAAGAATTTTTGTTCTTTTTTTTGATTTCCCTTTTTTCTTTTATGACACAATTTCCAAATCATGAAAATTTTATGGAAAGAAAATAAAAGGAAATGTTCTTTCTTCCTTCAAATCAGATGGCGCTTCAGTTTGGTGATATTGAAAATGAAATGGAAAGTTTGACAGATAAATAAAGATAAGAAGGAAGACATTCTTCCTCTTTCTTATTTTTAACACACGAATACATTCACAATAACTTATTACCTAACTTAAATTAAGAATAAAAAAGAAGATCAAGTCCTAATGATCATTCTTACTTCATATGTAATCATAATCGTTTAACTTTACGGATAAATTAAATATTAACATTCTACTAATTAAGGTTTTTATAATAACATTAGCAGTATGCAACAACCGCGATGATCATGATAATGATAATGGTCCATCATTATCATCATTTTGATCGTCGTATTTAGTGAATAACTAGAAGGTACGGAGGTAGCAGTAGGTACGTATTGGTACGAAACCCCTCAAGGAACAAAACTAAATGTTCATTATTTGAGATGTTTGATGTTTTTTTCTTCAAAGAAGGAAAGCTCGTTTTTGGATTTTTACCTCACGGAACTAGGTACCTTGGTACCTTGCGGCACCCGTTACTGCTACTAGATGGCATACCTGTAATGAATGAATTACGAGATTCTGCAATAAAAATTTTTGAGATGAAATTGAGCTTAAATTTATATGTATCTTCATGAATTTACAAAAGTTAAATAATTCATGTCCGGTTATACCTACTTGCTTACTTCCTTATACACGTTGTAAAGTTTTGTATTATGAATCATACAGAATAAAATTAATGAATATTTCCAGTTATAAGTTTTATTTTAAAAAATCATCGATAATATCTCTTTTTGTACAATGCACTAGTCAATAATCCTTAGTATCATTGGTATATTTAGTACCATATCTGTGATTATAAAAACTAATTAATTTATCGAATTCCTGTCGCATTTTTCAGGCGAATTCTTTCCAATAAATTTACTCAGTCATTTATTTCTTCTAATAATAGTGAAAAGGAAAAAAAAAATTATCAGACTTATTTGTAAAAGCAATAAATCAAAAATTGCGGAAGTAAATAATATGTCAGAATTTGAAGAATTTAGAAAAAACGTCATATTTGTTCAGTTCCCGGTTTTTCTCGAACAATATAACCTTTTTCGGTCTTTTTATCTACCTGCTTTAAATACATGTACTAGCATCTCCTTCAGGATTATCTAAATAAAATATTTATCTTACTTGAGCAAATAATATTTTTCATTCTTATTTTTGGAAAACTGAAAGTTTGGATCTAAAAAATGAAGAAGCAATTCAAATTCTGACAAAAGATATATGTACAGAATACTGAGATTGGTTAGGTTTACAATACAGAATATTGAGATTGGTTAGGTTTACACTATCAGACTAAAATGTTAAAAATTCACAATGAATAAAGATGATCTTATTTGATGAATGCTTGGAATATAAACATTACTTCCTAATTTTTCAGTTAATTTTTTTAAAAAAAAAAAACAATTAATAAATAAATCGTGGATCATTTTTTTCCGCTATTGAATAAAGTTTTTTCTTTTTCCTTCCACTGTCGTGTCAAAGAACTGTGATATAATGATAAAATAGAATGATTGAAAATATAGTTTCCTTTTTCATTTAAATAAACGAAATTGTCAAAGTTTTTTAAATAATTTTGTTATTTTTTTTTAGTCATTGAAATTAATGCTGTAAGGTTAAAATCAGTAACCGATATTGCATAATAGCCTATAGCATGAAATTATTTTCCCCTTTTAATAATATAACTCTTACACTCGATAACCAAATATATATATTCAAAAATTTCATTTCATAATTAGAAAACTTAATTTACTCTTCATTTTTATTTTTTGCGAATTCTAGCCAAATATTTATGTTTAAATTAGTAATGCAAGGCCGGAATCAGTAATTGATATTGCACGGCAAACTTCTTGAGCAAACTCTATAAAAGTTTCATAAAAGATTAATGCAACAGGGTAAAAGGTGGATAAAATTTCGCTTGAATATGAGTGATGCATCGATTTCTTTTTTTGCCTTTTAAAACTATATTACTTCCTTGTTTACATATCGTTTTATAAAATTCGGAAAAGTATCAAAGAAAAAAGCAAAATTTCCAAAATTTTTTACTACAATTTTCAATTCAATTCAATAAAAAAATTCAATGGAGAAAATTGGATGAAAGAAGATGACAACCCAAAATTTGTTCACTATTTTCCACTGAACATATCATTATTATGTTTGCATAACTCGTCAAAACGACAGTTAACTAACATTTTTTTTTTTGTGCAGTATATTTTAGGACTTATCTAAAATTTTTTGCATGCTTTTTCTCTTTCTGTTTTTTTTCAATAACTACTGTACTTCCTCTCTTACTCATCATCTACTTCATGCTCTTCCTTTGTCCTCTTCCATTATTAAATCTATTTAGATGAAGAATTCAACTGTCAGCAAGTTAGAATACAGAAACAAAACTGTTGTAGTGTGTTTTAAATATCCTTCAGTAATTTTTTACCTGTAATCTGGCTTATGTCTGACGAAAATAATATAAAAATTGGCATAACAATAAGAACGAATTAGTAAAAGTACAGGAATTTCAGATTTTTAATACTTCACTTTCTATCACGAAAATAAATATAATAGGAAAAGAGAATTTACAAGATTTTTGAATGTGAGAATGAAATATGAAGCGAAAATTATGGCGATTTGGATAGCATTGCTGTTAAAGGTTTTAGTTTTAATCCATTATTCAAATTTCATTTCATTGGTCAAAATATTAAAATACTGGCGGAGAGGTGGAAAAACGATAAAATCAAAGTTGAATCTGGAAAATAAAAGAAATAAAGCAAAGCATAAGCAGTCAGTTGAATGAGAAATAATGAGATGCTTACTGTATAAATCACATGCCTTTATAATTTGAAATTAATTATTATATTTAGAAAATAAAATTTGTAATCCAATATTAATAGTTGGAAATTTCCGTAAATGCATTGCTGATCGAATAGAGACGAGGGCCATAGGATTAAATTAGTTTTATTTTTTTAAAAATTAAATTGAAAATAATTATTTTAAAGTAAGGATAGAATCAAATATGCCTGGTCAAATTGATTCTAAATTACTTAAGAATTTGTGAATAGGAAATATCGAATATTTTAAAATTTTCAATCAGTAAGCTACAAGCTTGCTGTTGTGAGTCAAATCCTAATGGAAACTATCGAATCTTTCTGCTTCTCTCTTTCTTGCTGCTATTCCTCTTCATGAAATGATAAAATTACAGTACACCAGAAAAAATTGTGCTCATCACAATTTTTCCATACGATATCCTTCATCCGTGATAGTTTCTGTAATACAGAATACCTGATAATGAAAGTGTACGTAAATTACCGTAGTCGATGAGTATGCCTAAATTTTCGTAAAATATGCATTACTTCCGATTTAATGTTAACGGTTCTTTTGACAGATTTGTGCCATATAATATCACTTTAAGAATACGTAAAGTAAGATTTAAGCACTTTGATCATCAACTATTTACACCAACTGGTACATAAATTAGGAATAAAATAATTATGAAATGCAGATTTTACTATTTACTTTCACGTACATATTTTTGTTGAATAATTGACAAAGTGAGTGAAATAATATACCTTTTCGATATTATTAAATTAAATGGGAGCTGGGAAGGAGGAAAAAACTAGCTGTTTTAAGAGTGTTTTCTTTTGCCTTTTTTGCTCGATACGCATTTCCTTTATCATCAACTGTTTTCCTTATTGCTAAAAGAAAATTTTGCGTGTATCGTTTGGATCCGCCTTATGCAACAAATAAATATCAAACAAATATATACAGCCTTTTTGGCATTGGAGTGACCGATTGGGATGAAATTGCCTGTTTGTGAATGTTTGTCAAAATTATTCATTCCATCTTCCTTTTTTTGGACTCTCTATTTGATTTATTATGCTTTGCCTTATACTTAAATGATTAATGCATGTACTTATAATGATATTCATATTAATTTCTAAGCTGTTTACAGAATATATTCTTTATTTCAATTTAGAATTTTTATAACATTTCATTTCCATTCATGATTTTCTTTTTCTTTTTTTAAATTAGCTAGTTTTTTTGCATCCTTTTTCGCTTTTGTTTTCTCAGTTTTATATAGCAATGCAATTTAAAAACTACAAATTTACTTTTTGCAAATTGATTTCACAAAGTTTCGCAGGTTTTCATTAACTAATCATTTGGTCAGCTTAAAAAAGCATATTGTTTTGAAATGCATATGAATGATACACTTTGTGGGTGGAGTTCAGGTGTAATTTTATTGCAGGATGTTATAAACATTTAGGGAACATATGGAAATTACTCAAATTTGACATATAATCCTTTGAAATATTTCGTGAATGTTGTTTTTTATGTGAAATGAGATTTTGTTTCCCTTTGTTTTTTCTCTTTTTTAAAGAAAAGATTTAAATCTTCAATGAAATTATTGATTTAAGCATCGGTTTTATCTCTCCTGAAAAGTTTCAATCTCAGCAATGAGTTAAAAACTGGATATCTCTTTTTTTGGGTGCTTATTTTGTTCTTTCGAAATTTATGTGGCAATTTTGTTTCCTCTTCAGTGTTTTTATTTTTCTTTTTAATTTGTATTCCATTCAAGAATTTCAACAAGTTTTCGAAGAAGAAAGAAACGACGTTTTGAGATTAATCTAACACGGATACAATAATTATTTGATGAAGAGAGGAGGAGACGAAATTTTTTTTCGAACGGTATTCTAAAGAAAAAAATAACCAAAATGCATCCCCGTAGGGCAAGGAGAACCAAATTAAGGATTAACGGATGACAGGAGTAGGGCAAAAGAAATAGCAAAATAGAAACGGATGAAATTTCAGTTAAAAGGACCCAATTAATTGGCAAATTGAATTTCTTAAACGAAAATAAAAACAACACTTCTTCCCTTTATTGTTTTTTATGTAAATATATTTCGCTTTTCCTTTTTTCGCCTTTTTTTTTTAAATTAATTTCTGCTTGGTATTGGAAATGTTTTTTCCAATTTGGGAAAAAAATTGAAGTTGAAATTAGCTTTCACCTTTTTTCCACTTTTCAAAAAAACACTATAAATTTTAAGGGTATGATTTCGTGGGTGATTTCGCTAAAGCCTTTTATTATCTGTGTTCCTTATCATAATCACAAATATGACCTATAATTTTTCATTATAAATTTTGGTTCAGTGATACTTATCTGCTTCTTTCCTGTATTCTATTGACGAGAAACCTTATCACTCAACTCTTTGTCTGCTACAATTTTTGAAAAAGATAGTTATGTTTAAATATGTATACGAATTACAAATTAAAAAATTTTTGTGGATTACCAATTTAAAAGCTTGAAACTTATCTTTGATTACGAAGGATAAATTCTTGATGAAATTTATTTCCCTTCTAAAATTTTATACATTACTTGGAGTGCATCATATGACACAAAATTATGGATTACAACAAAAAAGGAATGGACTGCAAATTCAAATAAAGAAAAAGACAGTTTTGTTTTTCACCTAAAATTTCAAAAAAATATTAAGCAAGATTATAAAATTATACAACATGCTTTTACACAATATTTATACGATATGTTATATGAGTTTCATTAAACTAGAAATAGGAATTTTTTAAGTAATCACAATATTTAATTTGTATTTTTCCAACGAACTGATTTAGATCTGCAATTTTTTTAAAAATGACTTTCTTTTTTCCAAATATATGTCAAATTTTAGAAGAAACATGAATTTTCTTCGGGAAAGTAAATGTCTTTTCTACTCCAAGACATATTTTAAATTTTCAGAATTTTTTTCCTTTTTATTTAAAAAATAAAGGAATGGAAAAGGATGATCATCGTCCACCCATGGTCATGACCATGAATATCACTACCATTACCTATCATCAGTCATGTCAATCAGCTTCAAACAATATCAACGGTTAACGGTCATTTATCTATTATTTCCCAATGGATTTGGTGGAACTGGTTTCAGGATATATCCAAAAAAGAAGAAAAGCAGGATAAAGAGGGAAATGGTCGCCCTCTACCCATGTGTAATTCCGTCGCAACAAACAAAATGACAAACAATAAATAAAAAAAAAAACGAAAAACAAAAAGAAAAACCAAGAACAGACCAATTTTCCCTTTTCATTTTCTTTTTTTTCCATTCAATTTTTTTGCAAAAGCCCTAATTGGGTATCGGTCATTTTCATTGATTTCTTTTTCCTTTTTTATTTTCAAAAAAATTTTTTTATCAATCCATCTTGAAAAGAAAAAAAATCCTCTTCTTTCCATTTTTCCACCTCCTATTATTATTTCTTTTCCGATATGAAAACTTGTTCCATTAAAATTTTCGAAATCTTTTTTTTGTCTCCATGTTCTATACTGACTGCAATGCTGTTCTGTTGAAATACATTTTGCTGATCCGTTTCAAACATGAAGGACAACAAATTCTTTTTTTTTGATCTAATTCTGATGATCATTGTCCATCTAATAACATCGTCAATAATAAATAACAATAACAACAACGCACTATCCATTTTCAATCACTACACTTGCCAGTACCATCGTCATTTTCATTGTTATCATCATATCATCATCACCATCATTTCAACTATTGCTACTACTATTACTGCTGTCATCCATTTCTTACTATCATTGATAAAGATAAGAATAACAAAAACAAACAACAAAATTCGTTCTTCATTCTAATTTCATACAACATTACTATATATGTAATCAAACAATAAAAATTTTTACTTGTATTTTTCCATTCAAACAAAGTAGCAAAAAATAAAATAAAATTCCACTCATTTTCTAAAGTATCTTTCAATTTCTTTTTTTGCCAATATCTAGTCTTTTCGTTCATTTATTTAATCATTCATTCATATCTATCTTTGTATCTGTCTGTATGTTCCTCCAATCATATCCAATCATATTCAGTCATTTATTTTTCTCATTAATAGTATCAGTTATTATTAATTATTGCAAGCTTTTTTCTATTCATTCCCTTCTATTTGTAATCCTTTTATTACGAATACTATTATTAGTACTATCATCTGTTATTGTATGTGTCATTAAATACATTTATAATTTTAAACTGGAAATACTTTAAATTTTATTCATTTTTTCAATCCATTTTAATTCAATTTGATCGTTTCCAATTTGTTTGAATCTTTCCCTTTTTTAGAAAAAGGAAAGAAGATATTTGTTTCACTTCCATTCATAAACATGATGTTTTTTGTTTGGAAAAGGGGTTGCACCAAGGCAAGTTAAGTATCGTCCCCTTTCTTTTTTCTGTGTCGCTGAGCAGGTGGACATAACAGTCAAATCAGTGACCACGATAACGACAACAGCAACAACAACAACAACAACAACAAACCAATAATAATTTTCATTTTCATTATTTTCTTATCTTCCTTCTCTTTCGCCATTCCTTACCCACCAATCCTTCATCCCTTAAAGCGTGTCACTGTCATCTAAAAATCTTCTCACTTTCATCTTCACTTTCCCCCACCCCTCAAGATACATACTTTTACCCTTTTCTACTACATACGCCCATCTATCCATCAGTCCGTTCTCCGTTCATCAACTCATCCATCCATCCTTTCCTTCCTTCCATATTCATCCTTCCGTTCATTTACTTCAAACCTTATACTTTTTTTTACCTTTCCCTCCTTAAATCACACCCTTGTCATCGCTTATTTCTATTGCAGTCTTGCTAATACTCATTACTACTAGTTGTCGCTGTCATCAATATTATTACTATAATCGTTTCCATTTTCATCGAAACACATAGCAGCTTGCTACAAATTCATATTTTTCAAATATTATAAAACATCCAAATTCATTTCAATACTCGAACATTAACGATGACTCGTATGCAAATTTCCATCTTTATTCCTACCTTGAAATCTTTCATTATTATTATGTTAACAGAAGTGTTCACCTTTGAGGTTAGACAATAAATCATTTTTGGTTGGATGCGAAACGAAGCAACTTATAATTCCTGTACGATCGGAACAACGCAGATTATTACTTCAATTATCAATTCCCATGTTACAAAATGCAACAAATAGTAGTAGTAATAGCAGTAGCGGTAGTGGCAGGAGTGGCGGCAATAATAAAAGCAATGAGGGTGAAGATGGTGGTACTGATGGGAGTAATGGTGGTGCTAGTGTTGGTGGTATTGATGGTGGTGGTGATTGTGGTGATAGTGGTGGTGGTGGTGGTGGTTGTGGTGGTGGTGGAGCTTTTCAACCGGTTAAACCTCGATCCATGGGAAATTCATCACCTGTGGCATTATGTGTTGAATCAACGACAAAAACGGATGAATCGGTGGTTGTGGCTCGACGTTATATCGATGAAATGGCTGTTGATTCTTCCACTCCAACTACCACTACAACTGAACGGCGCAAAAAAAGCCTTATAAAGAGTTAACTCTAGAAGAAAAAGTTCAGTTGATTCGATTAGCGGAAGAAAATGCCGGAATGAGTCAAGCTAGTATTGCGGAACGTTATTCAATTGCTAAAAGTAATGTTTGCCGAATTTTGCAACGGAAACATGAATATCTTCGAGCATATGAATGGGCTGGTTTTGCTGGATCACGAAAACGTAAACTTCGTGGTGATCCACAACAGCATCATCATCATCAACAATCACGTGGGAGTACCAGAGATTTCAATAATTTTCAAACTTTAAAAATGACAAATACGACAAATTGCACCATATCCCATAATCATCCAACAAATTACGTGGAAATGGCGACATCAAGTAGTACTGAACAAGCAACTGACGATAACCATCCGATTGTACTACAACGTCCTACAACGATCATACAACGGGGTAATATCATTTGTATTTATTTCAACATTTGCCTTAGATATCCTTGCAATTAAATGCAAAGTAAGTGTAGGATTCATCCTTTCGCTTTTCTTCTCTCTCTCCTCCTCTCTTTCTCTTTCCCTCCCTTTTTGTGAGATAAAGTTAAAATCCTAGAATTCCTTCCTATGAATGTATTTGGAAATAAAACTGTCAAAATGTATCCTTTTTTAGTGCCATTATTGGTCATTTATATCGATTTTGCATTTCTCACTGCAGCTGTGTGACACTTTATATACCTCTCCTATAATATATCGGTTTACCATAGTTCATTTTGAAATTTGCTTGATTTAAAAGTGAGCAAATGGAACAGTCTAATTTATAATTTAATTGGATTTTCACCTCATTTATTAATTATTAATGGCTTTTAAACTGAATATTTTATTTATCGTTTCCAGACCAAATGCAAACTTTTCATTGTTTGAAAGAAGTTAATGAAGTGAGATTTAGTATTTCAGATTAATTTAAAAGAATTTGTCCTTATAATTATTACTGCTGATATATTTAATGTAGCGACAAAAAAGTGTAATTTTCCGATTACTGTTACTGATTTTTTTTTTTGCTGAAGCGTTTTTCTTTACTATATTTAATGAAAATGAAAAATTTTAGTTTGTTCTAATCATTGCTACTTCTGAATCGTTCTACATGTTTTTTTTTCGTTTGCTCATCAAATGAGTGCAGTTTTGATTATTAAAAGTATTTTTAAGTTTGCTTTTCTCTTTTTTTGAAAATGAACAGATTATTGTTCTTTAGATTATTGTTTTTAGTTTTTTATTTATTAGTCCTACTGAGTAAATTTTTAGTTAGTAAGAAATGGTCCTCATTAATTTAATTTTTGCTTCACTTTTTATTCAAAATATTCATTTTTTCATTTTTAAAGGTGAATTATTATCTTACTCATTAAAATTCTTATCCTTTTTCCTTCTTGGATACTTTAAATGATATGAGGAAATGAAGAGGATTGTTTCCTACTTGAAGTGGAATTAAAATTGAGCTTGGGTGTGAAAATTAAGTTTGACCTCAGGAGAAAACGGATAATATTCTGTACTTTCACTAGAATAATTCAAATATTTCAATTACTAGTTTTACGAAGTAAATCGTTATTCTAGTTTGATAACTTTTCCTTCGAAAGTTTGACCTTGGTTCTCGACAAAGAGTGATTTTGTTTTGCATTTTTTAATTTCAATATAATTCTAAAATATGACAAAGTTTTTTTTTTCATCATTTTCATCGTACTAGTTAATCGTTTAAAGAACAATATTTTTCTTTCTTAAGTTTGATGGCTTTAACGATGTAAATCAATTACTATTTCCTAAATGCTTACTTTATTGTGAAATTGGAACATTTTCTTCCTTTCAAATCCACTGGTTTTTTCTTTGTACTGCTTAGGATGAACATTTACCATTTTTTGCGCATATTCCATATCACTTTTGTAAAGTGTAATATGTTATAAGAGACAGTAATTAAACTTGATTAGTTAGTTGATTAATTGCCATCTTATTGAAAAAAAATGGCAGCAGCAGTTGTCATCACCATTCAGCAGCATCATAATTTGTCACTGAAGGAAAATAAAAATTAAAAGAATGAACAACAAAAAAGAACCAAAAATGAAAAAAAGGAGTTGGTTAATGAAGAAATAATGAATTCTAGACTGAACATGTTCTTATATGAATTACATAGAGTCAACTTGATTGACAGCAACACGAAAACCATTCCATATTGCTTCATTTCTCGCTCTTCCTCGAGAACCGAATAAACTGAGAACAGGAATAAGTACAAATAGATTGATGAATGGATGAATTCAGTTTTCTCCGTCTTCTTCAGAGAAAAATAAAATAAAGATTGAAAAAAAAAGGAAAAGAGAATTGGAAACTATTTATGATGTGCTACTTTTCATAAAGGAGAAGAGTGTGTGACGAATGGTTTCCAATTCAATTTTTAATTTTCTTTTTACAAGGATTAAATTAATCTTCGAGACTTCTTTGCTCAATAATTTGTTGGATATTATACGTTCATTTTTTACTCATTTTTTTTTTCATATCCTCTTTGCAATTGCAACAAATAACATCCTATACTCATATTTCAAAATAATAAATCAAATGTAACAGTAGATGAAAACGAATTGTTGCTACTGAGTAAGATTCATATCTTTTGATGTTGCTTTGGCTTCAAAATGATAAGTGTTAAGGAATATGTTTATGTTTCTGCATTACCGAAAAAATCAATACTTTGAATTAATAATTTACTATATCATCATTCTATAAGAAGTTACTGAGAGAAGAATTTTTATTATCATCTTATAAAAAAGTGCATGAAGGACTAATTACTTTGTAATCATTCTTTACTGTTATCCTCGTAAGGAAATGCTGAAAGAATTATTTGCTTTACTGTCATTCTATTACGAAAAAAATATTCTGCTAAATATGTCATATTTTTCTTAATTAAGAGGAAGAAGAATGTGTCGAAGAATTTAATATATTTATCAAATAGTTCCTTTTTTAAGTTCATAATTTATCGGAATTTCTCGAGAATGCATATCATTGTTATATGTGATACTATTATCACCTATAGCAATCAGAATATGATCGGACCAACGGTAACAACATCAAAGGTCGAATGAGAATTGACAGTTCAAGCAATTCATTCAGTGCTTTATTTCAATCTTCCTATTAATTAGGCTAATTATATTGAATAAAAAAAAGAGAAAAAGAACAGAAGGGACAGATATTAGACTTAAATTTCTTCTGCGAAATTTTTTTTTAATTACAGTGGTAATTACAATAACTTTCTTCTTTTTAGTGACAGAAGTTTATTTCGAATTTTTCCAATTATTTTAGCAATCAAAAATAATTGTTCATTACAATTTTAATGCTGTTCTTATATATTTGTATGTAATTTATAGGCAATGAAACACTTCGAGCACATATGTACAAACAGCATCAAATTTCACGCATGTTTATGTGCCGTTGCTGTAACTGGGCTTTCCCAGATAAAACAAGTTTACATATGCATATGCAGGTATTATATTCTTCTTAAAGTCTTTTATTTTCAGAATTAGGCAAGAATTTGAAACGTGTGTTTAGATATGTTAGAATTTAATTTTGATTATGATGTAATAAGTATTAGGATAAAAAGCAAGAGAAATTATCAAGAGTAAAATTGCTGTAGCATTATTCCGAAACGTATAATTTATGAGATGTGGTGAGGTGGCTTCATTAATATAAGAGAAATAACAAAATAACAATTTGGTGGGAAATAAATTTGAAAATTTTTTTAAACAAATTTAAACTTAGGTGGTGTTCTCGGGGATAATTGGATATTTTATTTGTAAGCATTTCAATTTGCAGGCAAAAGAGGAAGGGAAAACGATATCGGTCCCGGTGATCGGTAAAGGTAATCCACCTGCTACACATCAGAATCAACATCAACAGGAGCAGCAGCAGCAACAACAAAATGAGAATTTAACTGGTCAGACCGGATTAACGGAAAAAGGACGTCATTCACCGCAACTGTCAACGCTTCATGTTCCGCAACCACGAGTTCCGGCAACAAATCCGTTTGCTCCATTACAACTCCATTCATTAGTTGGCCTTGCACCGCAGCAAGCAGTGAGCCTTACCGAACAAACCTGTGAGTTGTTAAAAGATCAACAGGAATCAGTGCTTCATATCCACATTTCTTCAATGCTTAATGATTATTCTTATAGCACTGCAAGCGGCAGCAGCAACCTTATTTCCACCAATGGCTCTTCTTCGCGATGCATGCGGAAGTGGAACACATGTGGATGATTTGATGTCAAAATTACGTGAACGTCTGATGTTAAATAATTTAGTTGCGCAATCCAGCTTTGGTCTTGCTGCATGGCTTTCAACTTATCCAAAAATGGATCAATCAAGTAAATTTTTCAAATTATTCAAATATAAGGATAAGAATCGAATGAGTATCCAAAAGTATGAAATTTTGTGATTTTATTCCCATGGTTTTTTATCTTAATTATTATCCTAAAAAGTTAAGCTGAATGAATTTATCTTTTTGCCATAGATGCAAATGGAAGAAATCCATTGGATATTTGTTCATCGAAGGATTCCGATGTCAACTTAGTTGCTGAAGAGGACGAGATTAATGTTGACAAGGAATATGACGATGACATGATGGCAGAAAGGAATAGTGCTGAGCAACGTCAATCTCACATTGTATTATATTGCTTCGTTTTTCTTTTTGCTTTATTAGAAGAAACAGAAATGACATCCGAAGGATAAGAAATACATAAAAGCACTATCTTTAATATCTAGTAAGGATGTAGATTTCAATAACTTGGTTTTCTCTTGTTTATTAGGTCGAAAAGAAAGTTATGTTTTACATGATGGTTTGTTTGAATTACTGAACTAATGTTTTCAGCAATTCATCATTACTGACATTTTTTTAGATGGAATTAAACAGAAAGCATGCAGAAGTAACCAAAGTGGAGACATCAGTGAATCCTGAAGAAAACAATAATAGTAATACTAACGGTAATGTCGAACGACCTAAAAGCGCGAATGAGATTGCAGATGATAAAAAGTATGCCTTCTTGTGGAAATTTTTATTTTTCATAGATATTTACTAATCGTTGTGTATCTGGATGTGAATGTTGTTAATGAAAGAATGCCTTCAGAATCCTACATGAATCCTTGTTGAGGCCAGCTTCTAATGCTGCTATTGAAATTGTTTCATCTAAAACAATGCCAAATTTACGTTCAGCAATTAATAGCTCCCCAAAGAATGGTAGCCTAATATTGAAGAGCGGTGAATGCAAAGTCCTTCTGAACGGTATTGCGGTAAGTGTGATAATAATTTAACACTGATAATAATTCTGTTGACTTTTCCTAATTTCTATATTATTTACGGAATGGATTTTAAGCAGCCAATTGAATTTGATTCCAATATTTCACGATGTAATTGGAATTTGGATTGTATTGCGATGGTGCAATATGATGTTACTACTTTTTAATAGCAACTAATTAACGATTAGTGGAGAAGTTTGTAAAACTCAGTTTAATTTATCGTTAGTTCCTTTTGTCAGCTCGTAACTTTCGTAACAAAATGGTTCTGTCTTTTTTTTGAAACTTCTGAAGTTTGTTATTATTCTTATACTGTCCTGTAAGTAACTAAGATTTTTTTTTAAGGATTGGATATTTTTATTATTTTATGATCTATTTGCAGAACAATAACATTGACAGTATTATTACCAACAACAGCAATAATAATAATAATACCTGTAAAGGAAAACATACAATAAGCGAATTGTCGGATTCTATTGAAAGTCACATATCACCATCTGAAACTCATAGTAGTACAAGTAACGGTGCATCACCGCCTGTATCTCGAGAATGCTGCGAATGTGCGATCTACAGGGGAAAGCTGGCAATGGCCGAAAACAGATGTCGTTATTTGGAAGGGAAAACTGCCACTCTTCAAGTAAAATTTTAATGATGTTTCAAAATCTTTAAGATTTAAATATTTCTAAACCTATTTAGTCTTTTCTTTTTTTTCGGAAGTATGAAAATGGATGCATTTTCTTGAATATTTCAAAAAATTATTTCTTCATCATCAATTAATTTCTTTCATCTTTTTGCATAACATGATATTGCTTGTTACACGATAACGAAAGATGACAATTATTGTTATTTTCTCGGTCGTTAGTTTTATTTATGTAGAAATATATCATTACATTACTTATTGTTATATTTTAGTCAGATGCGATTCGCTTCAGTACTCGTGTGACAGCATCCGAAAATTCGGCTCGACAATATGAGCAAGAGGGTCGCTTTCTAAGAGAACAGAACGAAATTTTGCAACGAAAAATATTGGAATGTCAAGAGAAAACGTTGGCATTTATGCAAGCTGATCAGGCAACTAATGCCCAAGCTGTAGCCCTTTATTTAAACGATATCCTAAAGACGACTTTTCTTCGATAATTTAATTCTTTGCGCCCTACTTCCTACTATCTTCATTTTGTTCCAGCTCTGCTCATAATTGCCTATTTCTTGCATTTCGAGAAAGCTTATTTCTTTTTTTATCCAAATTAAAAATTTGATGTCTTTTTTTGTATTTCACTGCCTTAAGTTTACCTGTTCATTTCACTTCACTTATTTTCGCTTTTTCTGCTTTGTTTACCTCGCGATAGGAGACATCATGCTTCACTTTTACTTTTATTACAGTGGAAATATGCTAGCACCTATTCCATTTCAACATTAAGCATTTCGAAATTGGAAGAAATTCCGGGAAGAAGAATTGAGTTGAAGATTGTGACAGTATTTAAAATGGATTCGAATTCTATGTTAAGTTTTAAGATCCTTGAGGAATATAAACAGAAATAGTGACATGCTAGTTTATTCCTTAACAATGAGATTCGCAAAAGTTGCAATCCATTAAAAAAATCGCAATAGATAAAACGAATGGAAAATTCCAAAATTTTCCATTATTTTTTATGCCGCAGTATGCATATTAGTCTATTATTTTGGTTTAAAAAGTTATAATGAATGCCAAAATATGAAATTAAGAAAGATATATAATGTAAAATATGTAACTTGATACAGAAATGCAGTCTTCAAATAAAATTTCCAAATTATATTTTCAGCCAAAAAAAAGGATCCCTATGGATCCTATGGAATACTTCAAAAAGTACGCAAGTATATCCCATTTCAATAATTCATCTTTTTCCGTCAGCATATCGAGGAAAGCATATTTTTGTTATTTTTTAATAATTTAATTTGTGGTATATGACATGTTTGTTTTCATTTTCCCCTCTAAAACTTTCCTTCTAATTGTTTTTTTTCTTTTTTAGTGCAATATGTATTTGTGCAGTAATAATAATTTGGCTTTTATTAATAACAGTAAAGTTGCTTTTACTTTATAAAAGGCTTAATGAAACACTCCAAAAAAAAAAATTCAAGCTTGTCACAATGAACGTTTCTTTTTTTGCTACAATAAAATGAAATTGAAATTAGGGATGAAATTTATTTAATGAAATAGTAAATTAACGGATACTGTTTTTGACAGAAGGACAGGTATTAGCCTAACGCTATTAATGTTTCAAGAATAGTAGCGGTATGAAACAGTATCTTTATAAATTTATAAAGGAAATGTATTTCTAAAAAAAATTTGAATGATATTTTTAGAGTGTTTAATTCACAGCCTTCAAATATGTTCCATTTATGATGAAAGTTTAATTTAATTTTTGCTTTTCAGTTTGAAATTTTGAATTGTTTCATTTATCCTTCACTCACCCTAATGTGCATTACTTGACATGTTTCATCAGTTTACAGTCTGTGATTCTCTTTGATATCCATTTGTCTTTCGGTTTTTTTTTTTTGTTATATGAATTTTCTTTTTGGAGGTTTCAAATTCAAATTTAGATTATTGTTTTACATACTCTTCTTGAGAAGTATCAACTACAATTATGCAAGTATAATGTCTCTCATAGTGTACCATAACAGCGTTTTTTTTTCGAAATTTGATTTTTTCTTCGAAATTGTGTTTTTGAGCAGACTGTAATTTAAGTTTAACAAAGGACTTGTTCGACTTTTTCGTATTCACTTCACCATAATTTTTACTATTATTACTGCTATTACTGCTATTATTATTACTAATATTATTAATATTGGTATTAATATTAATATTATTATTACTATTATAATTATCACTATTATTAGTATTATTATTATTGCTATCATGATTATTATAATTATAATTATTGCTATTATCATTATTATTATTATTATTATTACTATTATTGTTATTATTATTATTATTATTATTATTATTATTATTATTATTATTATTATTATTATTATCATTATCATTATTTCTATTATTACTATTATTATTATCATTATTATTATTATTATTATTATTATTATTATTATTATTATTATTATTATTATTATTATT